CGGGATTCCGAACCCGACTTACCCCGGACCCGAGTTACCCCGGATAATTCGGGCGTCCAGAGTCCCAAAATCATCAGGGGTAACTCGGGTCAGGGCTAATTCGGGTTCGTTTTTCGGGAATCCAAACCCGACTTACCCCGGACCCGAGTTACCCCGGATAACTCGGGCGCCCAACATGTGCCGATGCCCCCCACCCGTCGCCGCCAGGGCCCGGGGGCAGCACGTGGACCCGAGATGTACTCTGTGGGCGCCGGGGTCTTATCCGTGCCATGCCTCCGCTCCGCCTCCGCAGGAGTTCCTGCGTGGACACGGGGGCCTTCTCTTCGGCAGTCGACGGTCGATCCACACGTGTGCTGATGCCCCCCACCCGTCGCCGCCAGGGCCCGGGGGCAGCACGGGGATCCGAGATGTACTCTGTGGGCGCCGGGGTCTTATCCGTGCCCTGCCTCCGCTCCGCCTGCGGAGGAGTTCCTGCGTGAACCGGGGGGCCCTTCGGTCGTTGGAAGGAGGTATTTCTGCACTGCCAGATCCCAGAAACTACTTCTTGCGCCTTCCTACCTCAAGAGGTGGCATGGTTTAGTGTCTTGACTTTTGTTCTCTGAGAGGGCCTGAGCCCAATCTGCTCTCTCCGCCGACCTACCGCATATGTTTGCCTACTTCTGCCGACCGACATGTACGGACGAAACGTTGCTTGGGGCGTTTTTTTTGTCGTTGTTTACCTTTTCAGGATCGACGTGTTCGTTTCTGTTTTGGGAGCAGTTTTTTCTTTGTTTTGGGATTGCCGTCTCGCCGTTGTCGGTTCGTTGGCGATCCGTTTCCTACATGTTCTCAATTGCCGTTGTTGTTCCTGCTTCCGGTGTTTGCCGATTTGTTTCGCTCGTTTTGGGTCCCAGTCGGTGCCGTTGTTGTGTTGTTTCGGGATGCCGTGTTCTTATGTTCTGGTCGACGTCGACACGAGAAGTTGTAAACGGATATTTGTTAATCGAAAAAAGGCTTGGCCTCGCCAGGATCGGAGGGCTTTTGGAGCAGGCGGCCACCGGGTCCCCTGGCAGGCCGCTCCTCAGAAGGCGCGGGCCTCGCCCACCCAGACACGATCGCGTCGTAAATAAATCCGGGCGGAGGTTTTCCACAATTTTCGGCCCTTGGGGCCCCTCTTCGCCGGGCCCCGGGACTGTCAAAAAACGACTCAGGAAGGAAATTCGGGAAAGCGCGCCAGTGGATGGCCCTGAATACACAAAGGGGGGGGGGGTTCTCGCAACCCCCCCCCCCCCCCACCTCCCCCCCTTCAAAGGGCGGGTGAGATTTTCGACCCCCCACCCTCCCCCCCTTAAGGCGGGGGGGGGGTCCGACCCCCCCCCCCCCCTTGAAGGGAGGGGGCGCTGGTACAGACCCCCCCCCCCCTTCCGCCCTTGGCGCTGGCAAGGGGGGGGGGTCGAACTCCCCCCCCCCTCCCCCTCTTTGTGCCGAACAGGGGGCTGGGGAAGGGGCCTCTCGGGTAGCGAGTAAGGAGCAGAGTGTTTTGAGTAGCGATTGGTGACTAGTGGGTATTTGATAGTGAGTAGTGCGCAGTGAGTCGTGAGTGGTGAGTTGTAAGTAGTGGGTAGTGGGTAGTGATAGTAGTGAGTAGCGCGTAGAGATTCGTGAGTATTGAGTATTGAGTAGTGGGTAGTGAGTAGTGGAAAGGGAGTAGTGGGTAAAGAATTGTGACTAGTGTGTAGGGAAGAGTGAGTAGTGTGTAGTGAGTAGTGCATAGTGAGTAGTAAGCAGGGAGTAGGGATGAGGGAGTAGACAGTAGCGACTAGCGAGTAGTGTGTAGTGAGTAGTGAGTAGTGCGCAGTGGATAAAGAGCAGTGAGTAGTGAGTGGTGGGCAGCGAGTAGCGAGTAGAGGGTAGGGAGTAGCGAGTAGGGAGTAGCGAGTAGTGAGTACTGAGAAGCGAGCAGGGCGTTGTGAGTAGTGAGTAGTGAGGAGGGAGTAGTCAGGAATCACTAGTGAGTAGGGAGTAGTGCGTAGCGAGCAGGTAGTAGCGAGTAGTGAGTAGTGAGTAGTGACTTGTGAATTGTGAGTATGAAGTAGTGATTAGTGAATAGTGACTTGCGAGTTGTGAGTAGGGAGTAGTGCGTAGTGTGTCGTGAGTTGGGAATAGTGAGTAGGGTGAAGGTAGTAGTGAGTACTGAATATTGGGAGCGTAGGGAGTAGTGAGAAGTGGGTAGTGAGTGCGTATTGGGTAGCGAGTAGGGCGTAGGGGGTAGCGAGTAGTGAGTAGTGAGCAGTGAGTAGTGAGTACTGTGTAGGGAGTAGCGAGTAGTGGGTAGTAATTTGTAAAGTGTGGGCAGTGGGTAGTGAGTAGTGAAGTGTGAGTAGTGAGTACTGGATAGTGGTTCGTGGGTAGTGATTAGTGATTTGTCATTGTGAGTTGTGCTTAGTGAGTTCTGAGTAGTGAGTATTGAGCAGTGGGTAGTAAGTAGTGAGTAGTTTGTAGTGAGTAGCGAGTAGGAAGTAGGGAGTAGTGAGTACTGCGTCGTGGGTAGTGAGTCGTGGGTAGTGAGTAGTGAGTCGTGAGTGGTGAGTGGCGAGTAGTGAGAAGTGAGTAGTGAGTAGCGAATAGTGCATTGTGGTTAGTGAACAGTGCGTAGTGAGTAGTGATACCGTTTGGGGCTAGAGCTTGGGTTTGCGATTAGGGTTAGGGGTTAGGGTACGGGTGAGGATTCGTGTTGGGGGTCGGGTTCCCGAGACCGGGGGCGCCGTGGCGAAAAGGGGGGGAGGGGGAATTTGGCGGCCAAAGGGGGGTAGAGGGGGGGGGGGTCGAACCCCCCCCTTCCCCTTGTGACAGGGGATGGGATGGGGGGGGGGTCCCCGACGACGGACCGGGAAAGGGGGGGGTCTCCCCGACGACGGATCGGGAAAAGGGAGGAGGGGGGGTTGTCCCCGACGACGGATCGGGGAAACGGGGGGTGGTCCCAACACCCCCCCTCGTTCGGGTCATCCAGCGGCGCGCCCTCGAAAACCGGCCCCGGGGAAAGGGTCTGGACTTCTGGGGGCGCCGTACGGGGGAAAAACATAAATGTCAGGCCCGCGCCTGCTAGGAAGCAGGCTCCTGCTAAGAAGCCTTCACCCATCCCGCCGAATTGCTAATTGCCCTCTCTTGCCTGCCGCTCACAGAGAGGCGCCTCCGAGTGCCAGCACTTCCAGTGCGACCACTACCCCTGCTGCATGGCCTTCAAGTGCGGCGACCCCAGCGGCGCGTGGGCGCGCTGAGCGCCCGCCCCATACGGTGCCGGGCCCCATGCGGCGGGCCGCGGCGCCGGGGCCTCTCATTTGCAGCCGTCCAGAAACAGCGGCACTTGCTCACCTCTGGTGGCATCCCCTGAGGCCACAGTCAGCACTGGGGCTGGTATACCTATTGGCCTTCGGCCTATCCCACCACCGTGCCTGGGTTGTGGGTCAGGGTTCTCTGGGATGCTTATTCGAGTCTTTTCGGGGCGCTCCCGGGGGCCTGTTGGGACCAGACTTGGGGCCTGTTGCGGGCCCTTTGAAGCCTTTTGAGAGCCTCTTGGGGACAGCGGCACATGCTGACTTGCGGTTGCATTCTCAGGGAGGTCAAATTCAGCACTGGCGCTGGCATGATTCCGAGGTCGAGCCCAGTCTAGTTTTGCAAGCTCCCGCTTGCTTCGGCGAGTCCCAGCCTGGCCTTGTGATTGGACCCTGAGTGGTTCTTACGAGGACCTCCTGGAGTTTGCCGCCTCCTAACTCCTCGCTTGCCCGCGTGCCGTTCATCGACGACGAACAAGCGTCGCAAATTTTGATTGTTCGAAGGTCCGCGTGGGTTTCTTGGATCGGCGCTGGGCCCCTTTGGCGGCGCCTCCGTCGCCGCTCCTGAAGCGATGCGTTGCACAGGGTGGGGGATCAGCGCCGATCCGATAATTCCGCGCAGCACTCTGGAAGTGCATGTATGTGCAGAGTTCTGCATTCAGCATAGGCCTGATGCCCGCCTTCTTCGTCTTCGGCAGTGCACTCTCTGGAAGGGAATCCTTCTCCCTGCGGCGGGTGGCGGACTTGGACAGGTGGGTGTCGACGGAGACACATTGCATAAACGTAAACTTTCTGAGGTCCCCTCGCACTCCTCCTACCCCATACCCTCTCACCTCCCGTCTTCTGCATCGCCAGACGCTGCTAGAAGGATCAGGCCAGGGAGGGAGATAAGTGCATGAGCGCAGAGGATATTACTGTTACAGGTGAGAGGAGCCCCCACCTCCTCGAGCGCCCGACCCAGCTATGCACGGTACGCGGGGACTCCGATGCGCAATCCCCCGCCACGCACACGCGCCCATCTTTGTTCGGGCTCATGGTTTCCCTGAGTATCCGGCCCAAGCCTTCCTATCCTTCTCATCTCCTCTGACTCTTCCTACGAGTTTGTCTTTACCTCGGCCTGCTTGTCACCACCGCTCCAAGGTTCCACTTCGTACGAGATCCAGCTGTCTGCGGCTCCACCAGATCATCCATGATATCGCGACGCCACAAATAGAACCATGGCGTCCCAGCGCCACGGCTAGCCGACACACATGACCCGTTACCGCATCGCCCGTTTCGCAGCGAGCGTGTTCTCAGCAGCTCTTTGGTGGGGATCGCTCGAAGTTTCTCCTCCCCCCTCTACTTCCCGTATTTCTTCCAGTCTCCTCTCCTCATTCTCCTTCTCGTCTTTTCCCTTTCCCCTCATACCTCCTCCACCCTCCTCTCTCTCAGTCCTTCCGTCTCCTACTCCTTCATCTTCTTTCTGTTCGATTTCTCATGGTTGCTGTTGCCTCCGACACCCTCCTCCTAGTCACCCCTCCTCTTCCTCCTGCTCCTCCTCCTCCTCTTCTTCCTCCCCCTCCTCCTTCCCCCTCCCCCTTAAAGGATGATAAAGGCCGCAACAACGTTGGCTCCAGGTCCAAGCCATCAAGCAAAGGTATACTAGCCCAACGTAGCGCTCGCTCTGGCAGCGACACCCGTCTGCATCCAATGATGAGGTCCGTGAGTCTCATTGCGCTGCTGATCATCGTTCCCCGGGTGTCGGCGTCGATCAACGTCAAGGGCGGCGAGGGGGCTTGCGCTTCCGAGGACCTGAAGAATCGCGCCCGGCTTCAGAACAAGCTGGCGGGCGTCTGCGAGTCGATGTGCCGCGAGGTTCAGGCGTATCCCGCCTGCTCGTGCCCGAATTTCGTGGAGCCAGACTCCACCCCGGGAGTGATGACGTGGGATGAGCTCTTGACGCACATGGACCAGCTGGGGGACTGGGGCAGGGACACGATCAAGGCTTGGCACAAACAGGCTTCTCAGCTCCAGACCGCGCGCGGCGGCGGCTCCAAGAACGGCACCATCGGCAGCGACGCCGCCGTGGCCCCGTCGAGCGCCAAGAGGACGTGCACCGTCACGGTGGTGCCGCCGGCCTCGGTGTCCCTCCAGGCCGGTGGCATGCCCCACATGGTGCACGACGACGTGGACTTCTGCGGCGCGGGGCAGCTGAAGGTGCCATGGGGCAACGCGATTGGTGGGGGTGGGGTGCGTCGCCCTCGAATGGCCCACTCATCGCCGACAGGGCCCGGCAGCGCCCTTCGCCTGGGAGCGGGCGGATTCGCCGTCGGTGGCTCATCGCCGATCTTGCCCCGCCGGTGCCACGCCGATGCCCCCCCCCCTAGCGTTCCCCCTCAGAGGTGGTGGAAGGCAGCTGCCCAGACCAGGCGGCATTCGACAACGCCACCGGCGTCCTGAAGTCCAACGGAGGCGCCCAGCAACTCGTTCAGGGAGCGAGCCCCAACCCCCCCCCCGAGGAGGTGGGCCCTCTGGCTGCCGTTCGCCACTTCCAGGGCTCCCAAGGCCCTTGGCATCGCTCGGACGTGCGCATTGTTCCCCGACGGGGAGCATCCTGGATCCTCTCGCGACAAAGGCAATGGGAACCCATGCCAAGAAACACCCTGCTCGCCTCCAGGGTGCCCTGGGCTTTTCTCGGGTTTCGCTGGTGTTGCGCTGGAGCGCGCGGCGCGCCCGCACCAGAAATCAAAAGGGACGTCCTGGGGCCTGAGGCTTGGGGGTTTCTTGTGGAAAGTCTCTCGTGGTCGAGCGCTCCTGCTGCAGGCGCACGAGATCGAGAAAGGTACGGGGAGCAGACGTCCGAGCGATGGCAAGGGGACCTTCCAGGGCCCCGCAGCGTCTGGCGTTGTGTCGGGCGTGTCCCCCTACAGGGGGACACGCCCGACACAACGCTCACGAAACAT